GAGAAGATGGAGATAATGCATCCACAAAAGAAATCTGTGGTTACTTAAGTATTTTCTCCTTAATGCGTTTTCCTCTTAATCCTAAACTGCATGTCCTGGGCTGCTTCCTCTACCTTAGGATCAGATTTGCAGAGGAACTTGGGCATGTAAACGTCAGTAATGCCTGAAATTTAGGCCTCCATGTCTGAAGAGGCATTTGTAATTGTGAGGTAAGAGTTCTACATATTCTTTAAAGAGAATGGAAATGTTTGGGTATGTCAAAGTGGAATACCAACAGATCTGGATGATCAGTTGAAGTATAAGCTAGCTGTTAGGGAACATTAAGAGGAAAGGCTGTGCCTCATATTTTCTTCCTCTGGCATAAATAAGGGACTCAGGTGGAATTCACAGCCTTTGACCCCTCACTTTGATATTCACTTGGGAAAAGACACCCAGCTTGCTCTCTTCCATTAAAAGAAGAGTTTGCAAGAGTTTGATACATGGTTATCTGCACCTTACATGGGGAAAAAAGCAGCAATGGGACAAATAGAGAATGGAATTTGGCACATAAGGAAGGGGATACTAATCTTTGTGAAGGATAAATTCTCTTAATCTGGTGTTTTTCAAGCCCTGCAAAATTAGAAAATACTATACAGTGTTAATGCAGGTGTTTTGGACATGCATAGTGCGAGTCTGGATTTTCCAAGTAAGATATAGTTGGTTCCCACACATGATCCACATCTCATCAGCATGTAGAAGGATAATTGAGTGGACTAAAATGAATACCAGCTGATGTCCGACTCTTCACTGACAATGCCTGATCTAGGGCCTGATGGAAGTGAATGTGATCACAAACATCAGAGGATAGAATCTTGCAAACTTTAAAAAACTTACATAAGCCTGAGATGTAGGTGGGAATGAGATGACTCAAAGATCTTGGAGGTGTTTTCCAGCCTTAGAGGTTGTATGTTTCTCTCGTTCTTGTGCCTGGATAGTGACACACAAGCCTTAATGCTAACTGCAAAGAGAGGAGTTTCAAAGATAAGAAAGCCATTGTGTCAGACTAGCCAGAGAATAAAACTTCAGGTTCATTTCATATTTTGGTAACCGCCACAAACTTGAAGAACAAGCAGATTCCTTACTTTAGTAAGCAATTGCTTTGTTTTGTTTTCACAATGGGCATTTGCAGTGATTGGCTGACTTGCAAAGTAAGGGCTTTGAAATTGGCAAACTTGCTGCATGATTTAACACTTCTGCAGTGATACAGTTCACAAGCAACCTCTTTTAAAACAATCTTTTTTTTTTGTCTTTGAATTCATGTCAAATTCTTACAAGCTTTTAAATTCATGTGGTGTTGCAGTCAAGTTACATGTTCCTGGAATGCCCAGAATTAATTGCGAACAAAGTTTTGCTGAGGCTGTATGAACTCAGACATACTAGTGCACAACAATCTTATCTACATATATAGTGCATTTGGTTAAAATCCCTGACAGACAATTTTAGTTCCTTTCCTCTTCAGTTGTGTCTTCATACACAATCATAATTATATAGTGATTCTCCCTTTTTAGAGGGTTTTCTTGTCAGGCTAGTCTGTTGTTCTGGTTCTTTCTTTAACTGGGGATCCTAATAGACTGACTATGCTCCTTGGGGATATCTTTAGTTGCATTTAAAAGTCTTCCTTCTGGATGCTGGATAGCATGAAGTTGTTATCCTGGGTTACCATGCCTATTGAACCCAGGTAGGGTACCAAATCCTCCAGGCATCCAGGATATAAAGGACAGAATGCACTAAATTGCCTTTTATATTTGCAAGAATTAAAAGGGCAGAAACCAAGAAAGGAAGATTCACAAGCCTAACAATTCTGTAAATTTTCTAATTGCATATATTTATTACACTTTTAAATTTATCTTTGCAACATGTAATTTGTCCTCGTGTAGTTTTTCTTTGTTCCCTTTTACATAAAAGAGAAAACACTGTAATTGGGTGAGTACAGCATTGTGAGTACATTGAGAACCATTCTGTAGTAGTTAACAGGAAACAAGACAGTGTCTATTATTTAAAAACAAAGAAAAGGAAGGGAAAGTACCGTCATGTCAGTTCATTACTGAAGGATAATAGTCTGTCATTTGTTAATGCTCTGAATAGTTTTTTCCTTTAAAGCTCCTGTTTCTATTGCCCACACATACCCTCCAGCTTTTCCCAAAAAATATTGTTGTCTCAACTTAAAATTTTCATACTAAATGGAAAACTTTTTTTAAAAAAAACTAAAGGAAATGGTGAATGAAGATGTTTCTTTCTAAACTGCAATTTGTAGGGTTTTTATTTTTCTCAAAATTCATAGTTGCTACTGCCTCTTTCGTGAAGAGGGAGTAATGGAATTTTCTGTGTTTTGAAATTTGTTTGAATTGTACCAGATCCGTGAAGCTTTTGGTTTTGTTTAAGGCCCATGTGCGGCTTTGGAAAAAAGACTTTGATTCAG